CCATAGTACTCTTTCTTCTGTTTCCTAATTATTGTTACTAATTTATTTTTATACTTTTTATATCTATCTTCGGCTTCCTTTGTTTGCAACTTTAAGAATCTCGTATACAGGCTATTTTTTTGGCACATGCATTTTTAATTCCATTAGTCATCCATGGTTGGTTGTCCCTTTTACCTGTTATTTTAATTAATTTACAACTACTGTTAAACGATTTCAGCAGTATTTTCATGAAGGATGTATATGCATTGTTCACATCACTGACATAGACTTCCGTCCAGTTCTGCATTTTAAGATCTTTATTTAGGTCCTCCAGTGCTTTAACAGATTTATTTATTTTATAATTAATAAAATTATGTTTTATGATATTTTTATTGTTATTGTGATATTTAGACACTACAAAAATAGGTAAATGATCACTAATATGTGTCATCAATATCCCAGTTTTAACAATGTCCTCCTTTCTATTAGTGAATATATTATCAATTATTGTTGCACTTTGGGTTGTGATCCTGGTAGGTTTGTTAATCAAAGGAACCAAACCTAAACTATATATCATATCAAAAAAATCACTTGATGTTCTCAGTCCAACAGGATCTTCTAAGTTAATGTTAAAGTCCCCACACATAAACAATGTTTTGTTTTTAATATGATCCACAAACTCATTTATTTTATCTGTAAATGACCTGATGCAAGAACCGGGTGCTCTATATACACAACTGATTATTATATTTTTTGGATGTGTCATTGATAATTTCCACTGTTACCATTTCCATAACATTATCTTCCATCATAGTCATTTTCTTATCTAATTTACATTTTAAATCATTGTTAATGTACAGGGCAACGCCACCACCCCTTTTATTTATTCTATTTACAAAATGAAGTTCATACCCTTCTATTTGTACTTCAGTCATCCTTTCATCATAAAGCCAAGTCTCAGTAATGGCAATGACTTTGAATTTACTTTGAAATTTACCTAAATAGTCCTTTATTGTTGACATCTTGGAAACTAAACTTCTACTGTTTATGTATATGATTGATAATGAATCATTGTTAATTAACCCACTATTTAGCTGATCTTCTGCATAATAATTACTATTTATATTTAACTCAAATAAACTTTCGTCTATTTTACTGTCAAGTTCATATATTTTCTCATGGGAATCAATTTATTCTTTATGAATTCATTTGTACTTCCATATCCATAGTTAAACTGTTTCCACTATCCATTATTTAGTCAGTGCTACACAATAAATCATCTTTTACCCTGCAACACTTCCAGATCTTTCAACTCTTTGATCATTTTTGCATTTAAACCTTCTTGCTCTCTGATCCATACAGCACCATTTCTTGTCCACGTGGCTGTGATTTTTTTTTTCTCAGCACCCTTGCTTCTTTGGCGATTGTTTCATTCTTTTTCGTCAGGTGTTCATTTATGTACACATTTGTACCTTTCAGTTTTTTTGCTTGCCTCAACAACTCATTTCTGTACTTCCGACTGGTAAATCGCACTATGATGACTGGTTTTAATTTGTCTGCCTTTCTCGGAAGGGTATGACAGATTGATATTGCATCACTTTGGATATTAATGTTCTTACTGTGCAAGAAGCTCAACACTTGTTGTTCTAGTGACTGGAGTTCTTCCTGTGGAGCATCCTCAGGTGTGTTTCTATCTCCAGTAACTCTGGCATAAGTCCTATGTCTTGTTTCCAAACCAGTTATCACCAAGTCATCCCTTCTGGTATACTGCTCCAGTTCATCCACCCTCTGTTCCAATACCATGATCTTCTTGACCTTTTCTGCAAGCTTGAATCTGAGTGTCTTGACCTCATCCATTAATGACAGTAGTTGATCCTGTTGTACTGTTAGCTTAGACAGCTCGGCTGACATAAAATTCAATGATTTTTTAATTTCCTCCATATCTTCCTCAAGTTTCTCCGTTTTTCTCTCTCAGTCCTGGTTGCCGGTGAATCTGGAGCCTGGAGCCCCAGGCTGAGCCTGATGGTTGGATCAGGTGGCTGGTATTGAGGTGATGGTGGAACCTGGCTGCTGGGCCCGAGGGTTGCTGGTGGAGCCTGGCTGCTGGGCCTGGAGGCTGATGGTGGAGCCTGGCTGCTGGGCCCGGGGGTTGCTGGTGGAGCCTGGCTGCTGGGCCTGGAAGCTACTGGTGTAGGCAGGCTGCTGGGCGTGGAGGCTGCTGGTGAGTCTGGCTGCTGGGCCTGGAGGCTGCTGGTGAGCCTGGCTGCTGGACCTAGAGGCTGCTGGTGAGCCTGGCTGCTGGGCCTAGAGGCTACTGGTGAGCCTGGCTGCTGGGCGTGGAGGCTGCTGGTGAGCCTGGCTGCTGGGCGAGGAGGCTGCTGGTGAGCCTGGCTGCTGGGCGAGGAGGCTGCTGGTGAGTCTGGCTGCTGGGCGTGGAGGCTGCTGGTGAGCCTGGCTGCTGGGCGTTAGCCATGACACTCGTGATGTAAAGCAAGTGCTCCTTCCTATGAAATATTCATAAGCCAGTTTTGTGACTGGCGAGCAAGACAGTAACATGATGCTACTTTATTAGCATAAGACTTTGTGGCTGCAGGTGATTTCTGGTGTTTTTAGACAAATTACCAGTGGCGGCTGGTGAAAAATATTTTTGGTGGGGCTGTGCTATTTTTTTATTTTTAAACAAACTTGTGCTTTCTGAGCTTTGTGCACAACTTCACTATTTCCTGAATTAAGCACAGCTCTTTTATTTCCTGTCTTACATCATTGGACAAACTGATTAATCCAGGTGTGTCTGACTATTGGCACGCTGCCTTGCAGACCAAGGTTGAAAAATACTGCATTAAATTGCACATAAAATAACACGACCATAAATGGTAAATAGGCAATGCAAGAGGCAAGTAACAAAAACATTTTGTTTAATTTCAACATTTGAGTGAACACCAAAAATTATGAGCAGGTCACTGTTACAGTAATGGTAGTAAACACTACTTAGACAAAATGCCAGAAATTTACACTGTTAAATATTTCTGGAGTGTTGTGCTAAGGTCAACTTTATACAAAGATCAAGTGGATGCATTTGTGTGTGTGTGTGTGTGTGTGATACCTCATTTGTACAGAAATTTTGCCCTTCTGTCCTTCTGAGTGGCAAAGCTCTCAATTAGCTTTTTATTGAAGTCAGGAATGTTTGTGACAAGCTTTTTTTTCCATGGAGAGCATGGCAAGAGCATTCAGCCCATCCTGTGTCATGGTGTTCCTCAAGGAAAGTCTTAATCCTCTTTAAAGTAGAAAAGCACCTTTCTGATTCGGCTGTGGTCATGGGTGTGGTGACAAGAACCTTCTTTTGCATGGCTCAGGATGGTGTGAAAAACCTGTCATATGATGAATAAAAAACAACAGATAAGTACATAGGAAACACTTTCATAGGAAATAATGTCATCAGTATCCTCTTACAAATGTCATATTTCCCAGTTTTTGGGACAATAAAACATTTCTGATTCTCAATCAGATGTTTTTACATTTGAGGTAAAAACATCTAATTGAGAATCAGAAATGTTTAATTGTCCCAAAAGCTGGGAAATTTGTTTGCTGCAGCAGAAGTGTAACAAGTAAAATGGAATCAGATTGATGTATGTACAAATTTACATGAAATACACATTTACATGATTAAATATGTATAATAAGTGTGTGTTGAAATTAGTTTTTACAGTTATTGCACATTAAACATGTTATTAAACAAATGTCCCAGTTTGTGGGACAACCAAGGATTTCTGATTCTGATTGTCTTGTTCACAGAAATGTAATGTACAGTTTACCTCTGCACCCAGCTGCTGTTGTTCCCTGCATGGCAACGTTAGCTCTGCCTAGCATGGCTAGCTTCACCGTGTTGTCCATGTGTGCCCGGGATGACTCGTGTTTCTTCACCTTCTCAGAAAAATGTTTCATGTCTGTAACTCCTGACTCATCCATGCCTTATCTGTCCCAGCCGTTTTGAATAACAAACACGGAAAGCAAAATAACGCATTAGCGTGATTGCATCCAGCTAGCCACTGCTTCCTGGTGTACCAATTTCGGGAGAAGCCTCGTGTGTACAGTTTACCTCTCTCCTTCTCCTGCTGGCTTATCTTTACGTCGGGCTGATCTGGTCCAAGCTCTTTGACATTAAGTTTTTCCACCATAGTTCTCCTCTCGAACGGATACTGGAGAAGAGACCGAACTGAATTCAGTGGCTGCTGAGATCCGGTATCCATGCTGGTTGTAGTCACTGGCGGCGTCCATGTTACATCTGTGTCACGACCAAAAACGACTCTGCCGAGTTCTACCGAACACCAACGAATCCTTTGGCGGTAGCTCTATCGCCCATCATGCTTCTGAAACGTTCTGAAACAACGTCGACGCTGATTGGATACATTCCCATTCCTACCCTTTGATATTCTTGTCAGCAATTGAACAGCTGGTCTCGTCCTGTTTGGGCGATTGAAAAACAGCACACAGCCTCCACCGCTCGGCAGAGACCGGCAGAGACCGGCAGAGACCAATATATATATATATATATATATATATATATATATATATATATATATATATATATATATATATATATATATATATATATATATATATATATATATATATATATATATAATTTATTTTTGTTACAAAACACACAGTTAACTTAGAATGTGTGATTATTGTTAATTTTATTTATTTATTTTTTTAAATAAAAATTAAAAACACGGAAAAACTGGGAGGGCGGCGCCCTATCGCCCTCTACTGGCCAGCCGCCACTGCAAATTACAGTTATTATTTTGCACTAAGCTTACTAACAAGCTAATGTTATTGTTTATGCATCATGTAAGAACATCCAATTTCAAGTCCTGACATCATTTGTGAAACCAATTTCATTACAGGACAGACATCACAACAATGTAAATGTTTAGTTAAAAAAATGCATCAAATAAAATCATAATATCAAAAAGACCAACAGGGTAATAGTCATTTTTATCATTATTGTCACTGATTTTCAGGAATTCACATTGGAAGGAGTGATGGAAGACAGTTCGGATGAGGAGTATGTGCCTGAGCCTGCCACAGACTATGATTTGTCGTGGGAAAGTCTGAGACCAGGGGGTAAAGGAAAGGGCAGTACAGGAAAGGGGAGAGGAAAAGGTCGCTCGGATGGTCGGGGAAGGACACGCTCAAGGGGTGAGGGCCGCAGGTCGAGGTCCAGAGCTCCTTCAAGAGGACCAGGGCGCCGGGGTAGGCAGCGAACAGCTTTCAGAGAAGAGGACCGAGACCGGCTTGCACAGCTGAGAGCTGCCAGTATAGCTGAGATGCAGGTTGGTTGTAGCCATATGTGTAAAAAATAAATGAATAAAAAATAGAGAGACGCCAAAAACTATAACATCACTCACTGGAGATATGAATCTAGTCATGTAAACATATGTTCTTTAATTTCTAGACAGCTTTACAACACCTGAGCCAGGAGGAGAGAGATTATATTCTCGAGAGAGTGGTGACCCGTCTTCCAGGGGTGATGCTGGATATCCTGGAGTTTTGGCAAGAGACGCCAGGACACCGTCTTCCTGATCGAGGGCAGCCTGCGTGGTGCACTTGCCAGAACTGCCGACGCATGCCTACACAGATTGAAAACCTGTGCTGTAGGCAAGTTCCAGAGCTCTGTCTAAGCAGAAGTGCTCACCTGGAGCTATACTGCTTGGATGAGGGCACACTGCATCTAGTGAGGATGACCTGGAACGACATCTTCGCCTTAGAGGACAACCAAGATGTGGGCACAGACAGTTTCATTTTGCTGCGTATCGTCAGTTTACAGTCTGGCAACATGGGTGTCTGGGAAGAGGAAGTCGGAGACCAATTCCAAGCTACTGTGTTCTATGTATACGGGAAAAATTCCCTGATCCATTTGGGAATTAATGTTGAGCATTGCAGCATCAATCGCGTATGAACTCGAGGAAAAGAAAGATGGGACCAAAAGTGCTTTCTTCGTGTCTTTTATTTAGAAACTGCGACACACACATCTGAACGTCCACACCGGAGACTCCATTCTCCTCAAGCAACTGTTACGTAATGACGCAGTGTGCGTGCCCCCCCTAGTGGTGAACAACTAAAAGCTTAACCTGCTTAATAACACCAGATTACACAGCTTAGCACATGAGTGCACAATATTGAACATCTCAACACCCCCTCTTGAACTCATGTTGCTCAAGTCTTCAAAAAAATAATAAACAAACAACCCTATTGGTTTTAATAACTTGTTTTTCCCCTCTTTGTCTCTTCTAAACACCAAACATAATACCTGCAAACTTTCCAAGTTTTAACCTAGAAACAGGCTTGGTCATAATGTCTGCTGCCATCTCTTCAGTAGTGCAATATAACAGAGACATCTTTCTCTCATTGACAATGGACCTTACAAAATGATATTTAATGTCCACATGTTTGCACCTTTGTCGACTCACAGGGTTATTAGCCAAAGCGATCGTCCCGTGGTTGTCCTCATACACCACTGTCTGTGCGTATTTGTAGTTGTCAATACCTCTCAAAAGCTGTTCTAAATATGTACACTCTTGCATTGTGGAAGAGCTCTTATGCTCGTCAGGTTAGCGGTTGGAGAGAATGTCTCGCCATAATCTTTTCCCATTCTCTGACTGAAACCTTGGGCTACAAACCTTGCTTTGTATCTGTCCTGTCCTTCGCTGTCACTTTTGACTGAATAAACCCACTTTCCTCCCACAGTTTTCTTTACTTTTGGTAAAGTGGTAAGAGTGAAAGTGTTGTTTTCTTTTAAAGATTTTACTTCTTCTTCCATAGCTTTTACCCATTTCTTGGAGTTAACTGATCCCATAGCTTCCTCAAATGTGTTTGGGATGCCACAAACTACTCGGTAGCAATAGTCTATTGTAGTATAAACCTCATCGCTACTACAATGGTCAGTTATAAAATCCTTTAGGTGACTGGGTTTTCTTTTCTCCCTAGTAGGATTCCTTCTAAAAACAGGTACTTCTTTTTCTGCCTCTGACACTTTTGGTTCATGCTCATCTGGTATGTCATTTTGAACATTTTTATCACTTGTCGTTTCATGAACTCCCCCATTTTGTTCATCTTCATCTGAGTTTGTGTCCGTCATAGGTTGTTCTACACTGGTGTAATCCTCATTTATTTCTGTCTCATCTGTCTGTGTTTCTCTCTCCACATTTTCTTTTCTTATAAACTTAACCAGTCTGTGTTTTTGAACACTTTCTGTATCCGGGTGATAAACGAGATAGGCTGGACTATTTTTATCATAGCCTACAAAAAATCCCTGGTTACATTTTGGATCAAGTTTACCTTTGTGTTGTTTGTATGCAAAACATGCAGTCCCAAACTTTTGCATTTTTGATACATCTGGCTTTTTGTCAGTCATCATTTGATAAGGGGTTTTCCCTGTTCGCCTGTTAAAACATCGGTTTCATGTTATAGCTGCTGTTTGGACAGCATAGTTCCATAAACACTTTGGTAACTGACTCTCAATCAACATGCATCTACCCATCTCAAAAAGAGTACGCCAACCTCTCTCGGCTGTCCCGTTTTGATGCGGTGAATATGGAGCAGATGTCTCATGCCTGATACCATTTTTCATTAGTAGTGCCTGGAACTCTCTACATGTGAATTTGGTGCCGTTATCTGATCTAAGGCACTTCACATTACCATGAGGTGCAACATCTGCAAGAAACTTTTCCGTTGCCTGCACTGCGTCAGTCTTAGTTTTCAGGAAATATACAAATATCGCATTTGAATAGTCATCAGTGAACGATTGTACATATTTGTACCCATTAATAGATTCAGTGGCTATTGGACCTGCCATATCTGTATGTACCATCTGTAAAGGAGCTCTTGCTGTTTTATCTGGATTCCTGTTTTGTGTCTGTGTAAACTTTCCATGAATACACACCACATTCCTGCTTTGCTTTATCTGTTCCCCCCTTAATTTGCATACCCTTAACCACATCTTGCAGTCTGTATGTCCTGGTAGCTACAGTGACCTAATATCTAGGGTTGCAACTCCCTGAAAAATAAATAAGGGACACCTCGCGGGCAGAGCCGGCCGCTCCAGGCCACCCTTCCCAGCGTGGTGATTTTTTTTGCTCTTTTTTTGTGTGTGTGAAAGGATGTTTTTTTTTACTATTTGACTTGAAGTTGGTTTAAGAAGATGCATATTCTTTGTGATATGAAAACATGGGAAACAAATGATCATTTAGCCATTTATTTATGGCGTGAAATTACAAAATTATTATAAGTAACAAAGGTAGTTTTCTTAAACAGAAAACTGTTATGCTCAACTTTTTGTGCAAAATGACAAAAAACAAATAAATAAAGCAGGTCTCTTTCTTAAACGGTAGCCTGTTATGCTTTACTTTTTAGAATATAAATAGCTGTCTTTAAAACAACTCTGTTCTGCTTAACTTAAAATTGTATAAATTAATAGAAAACAACAGAAAGAGCAACGCTGTAACTGCACATTGAGTGCAATTAGAAAAGTGCAAACAGAAAGTCTGTGGAGAAGCTGTAAACATATTTGTTCCTCAAAGGCCTTGACTGTAGCCTACGGTTGAAGTAAAAAAAAAAAGTCCAAACTCATGAACTAAAAAGCTCAATGCTACATTATGTGAAAACAGACTATTTTCTCCATTTGTATTTCTTTTGAGATCTTGCTGCATTTAGGAGTTGTCTTTCAGTACTGCAGAGTAAAACTCTGAGCAAGACATGTCACAATTTAGAGTGACAATGAGCTCACATCTAATTATTTCAGTAGAACATTTGTTCTGCACATCAGTCCACTTATTCTTCATGAAAGAGAAAATCCTCTCTGCCAATCCAGTGGAAGATGGGATGCTGAGTACAAAGGATACAACATGTTGGAGAGGTCAGCTGGATGTTGGAGAGGTCAGCTGCCTGAAGAATTTCTATACACTTCTCTGCTGTTCCCTTGGACTGCCACTTTTCCTTCTCCTGAGGTCCTTTGGTGAGGTGCTCCAGAAGGCTGGTTGCAGTGACACACTCGTCATAAAGCTCATCCATAGAGATGTTTAACCTGCCAATGGAGATAAGAAGTAAACCTGGGTTATAAGCACCACATAGAACACTTACAGTGGTAAATAAATGGAAAACATTTATTGTATATTTATTGCATTGTATAGCGTTTATACAATACAATAGTTCACTTTATTTATTGTGTATTTATCCATCCTTTTAGTTTAAAATTATCCAAACAACATATAAACCAAGACAAGGCTACATCGAAACTAAACACCCAAGTTGAAAAAAAAATATAGAAAAACTAATGACAAAACAGAAACAGACAACAAAAATAATAGTAAACAAGCCCCAACACAGTGGTTTTTTTTCTTCATATAAATACCTTCACTTTAACCAGAGGGTTTAAAAAAAGCAATGTTTACTTACCATATCTGCTTCTGCCGTGGCCTTGTGGACGACAAACGGATCGAGGGTTCCCCGTGCTTTCACGTCCTTTATGTTTTTCATGTGGCTACTACTAGAAGCATGTTGCTTGAGGTCAGTTAGTCCACCATGCCCTATGGAAAAACTGCGCCGGTACACGGTGCAGTGCGCTTTATAGGTGTTATCGCGCAGTTTTTCCAGCCAGGAATTTTCCTTTTCCCATTCCTCCCTGTATTTTTGAAGCCTTTTTTTCTTCTTTCTCGGAGGGGTACTGTCGTCCGAGACTTGTACAGCAGTGTCGGCGTTAGTTTCCCTGTTGGCCGTGCTGTTTGCTGTCGTCTGTTTTCTTCCGGTATCTTCTCCCCAAGCGACCGTTCCTCGACCAATGAAATAAGCGGTAATCTGTATCGTCATATTCATGTGTAAGCATGCGGTCAGCTCATTGGTCACAGAGCAGGCGAAGGGCTGGCTTTCAAACAAAGCGTTAATTCCGGTAATAGACTACAGACTAATTTTGATCCATACTATATTACGGGACAAAGCGCGCCCTATTTGAGTTCAATACGGGACGTGCACTTTTGTTTCTAAATACGGGACGATTCCGTTTTTCAAGGGATGGTTGGCAACCCTACTAATATCTCATGCCATACCTGCATGTCGTGACATGTGCTACATTTATCATTAGCATCAACATCCGTCTCCAAATAGTATAGCTTGTCATGCACATGGATGTTAAAATTAGTACCATCTTTGTGGGTCAACATGTCCTGCCCTTGTTTAAAAGTGACTGTTGCTCCCAATGTGGTGGCTGACTTAACAGAGAAAATATTTTGGGGGTAGGATGGGATAAACAATGCGCCTCTCAGCGTAGCTTTACGTTGCTGGCCTGTGTCATCCACCAAGATCACCTCTGCATTTCCTCTCCGTTGGGCAATGCCTCTGCACATGGTGCCGTCTGCCAGTTCTACACAGTGTGTTTCCGGACTGAATGTGTCATCAAAACTCTTGAACCTTGTCATGTCGTTGATGATGTGCGAAGTAGCGCCGGTGTCAACCAACAGACCTCTCTCCTTAAGGTTGTGTGCTGGCTGCTGACCTCCGATGTCCGCGTCCTCCACCCTGAAAGCATAATCCTCTTCCTTTGCTGCATGTCCTCTTCCGCTTTCTTCTGTGACCTTCTTTCCGCCATCTTGTTTAGCTCTGGGTCTTCACGTGGCCTCACAGTGAGTGCTGCTCCGGCAGTGACCACACCACGTCTTTCGCCTGCAAGCTTTTGCTCGGTGATCCTTTATTCCACATTTGAAACAAACAATGTCCACATCACACTTGTCTCTGGCTCGTGTAATTGACCTGGTGTGCCTCTGCTCAGCCCCAGCATCAGTTTTCATGACATTGTCGCTGGATTCAGCTACAGCAAACTTTTCAGTGTCTTCAAAACTTCGTAGCTTTGTTTTAAACTCTGTAAACGTGACATCATCTTTGTCGAGTGTCACATGTATTGCAAATGGT